TGGTATGTATGAATAAAGATACATCTCAAAAAACAGCATTTGAGGATCAAAGTCCAAACTCAGTTTTCCTCTAACAGTCTCACTCTGGGCAAGCCACACACTCTGATGGTTTCTCAGTTTAATTCACTCTGAAATTGTAATTGTGATATTTATCTGCATCTGGGATGTCATATTCAGCAACACTTGCAAAGCACTTGGGAGCCTCTCATGGAAGGGGAAACAGATATGTGTGTGTGTGTGTCAGTATCTGTATAAGTACACAGAGTCTTCAGAGCCTTTTTGAATTCTTTGCTCCTTACTCTGCAGCCAGAACCAGAGATTTGCACCAATATTGCTCTGTCCCCTACTATGCACTGCATTTGTGAGTAGCCCAGGGAGGCTCAGACCAGCACATCTCCTGCTCAGCTCCAAGCTGAAAAGGTCCCTTGTTTTAAGGGAAGAAAACCCAGCATGTTTCTGCTCTGGTCTTTAGGATGCAGACACTAGAGATAAGAGAGGGGGAAGTCATTCCAGGGATCTGGCCCCTGTCCAAGCAGAGGGCGTTCTCATGCACTGATAAGATCAAGGCAAGAGCACAAGGGGGTTATGTTCCGATTTAGAATTCTTATTTTATTTTTACATAGCAGAAAACATTTCTGTGATCAGGCCTGTTATCAGATCAGCCTTGAAGTACTTATCCCCTCTCTGCCTGCCCCAACAAGCTCTCTCAAGACACCTAGGGGCTTGCCAGTCGTATCTTCTACCCACCTACCACTGCTGAGATAAGCCCAGATCCACCGATCCCATTCAGTCTCCATGTAGGTGTATGTGAAGGAAGATCAAAAATAGGGCTAGATGACAGAACTGTAACCCTCACCCCAATAGAATCTGGCGATTTAAAGACTTGTGATATTACTGAAAGTTTCTTGAAAATAGGTCTCCATACTTTCACAGAACTGGTTTGTGATGAGTTTTTCCACATAGCCCAGGAGGTTGCTGCATGAGGAATTAGAGCTGCTGGTGCCTGGCCCACGACTGAGGCAGTTACGCCCCACGAGTTCACGCAGTCCTTGCCCTTCCAGAGCTAAGAAAAATACCTCGCCACACCACCCTCCACACGTGCAGCCTCCAGATGCTAAATACCTGCCCGTGTGCACGTGCACCTCTCACCCACACGAAATACCCGGTCTCCGGTTCCCACCTTACCCAGCTGATACTTTGGGGAACCAGGTACCACACGTGCACACACAGACACTGCCTGCTTCACCACGTAGCACCCATACAGGCCCCACACGCTGCACCGGCACGGGCTACGCTATGTATCCGTTATGCACAAATCCATACTTCATACACGCACCGTCACCTCTGATTTATCTCCGTTTGCCTGCCAACTGGGGCTGATCCTCCGGTGTCATTATCCCCTACAAACTAGGGCGGGAGGGAAGGAAGGGAAGAACAGAAGGGAGAAGACTTTTCCACACACACCCTCCAATGGAAGGCTGGGACCTCTGACAATTTGAATATGTTTCAAATATGAGATTTATTAATCTCTCTGCTTTAATCTGTGAAGATTCTTAAATTTGCCACATCCCAGCATCCTGCTTAAGAAGAACTGCTGAGTGAGTGGAAAGCCTGTAGCCTAACATGGCCTGAGCTGGCCCGCAGGAAGCTGGAGTACACGCAACCACGGCAGGGTGGCACCTTAGTGTTAAAGCAGCAGATGCAAAAACAAAATCCCAGAACGGCTGAGGTTGGAAGGGACCTCTAGAGATCATCTAGTCCAACCTCCCTGGCAGCCTAGCTCACCTGCCTTACAAAGAGTCCCAAGGAGCATGAACGCTTTCAAAGGCTGAAATAGTCTGTCCCAGTGCAGGGAACAGAGATACTCCATCTGATATTCCCATGGAAGGCTCTTCTGTCAGCAGAGGGACAAACAGCATTATTGGGAGGATGCAGGAGACAGCATCACCCTTCATCTTGACACACCAGCAAAGCTCAAAGACATCAGGGTAACAAAAATATCAGTCAGGATAGTATTTTTGTAAAAGTCAACCTTGCCTCACAACCATGTGAGACACTGTCCTCATCAAGAGCACTATGAAAATGCTTCATCGATATTACAAGGCTAAGCAAGTCTCCTGGCTGAGGAGTCACTGTCACCATCACCCTCACACAAACAAAGCGAGTTAGGAAAACATAATGCTTTCCCCCCAATTAAGCTATTTTGCAGCAGAAATGTGAGGAGAAAATAGAGATTCTGGATTCAACCTCCCTGCATAAACCACAAGGCAGCACTTCTCCTCTGTCTGCTCTTCATATGAGATATGAGGACAGATTCATATGAATAAACAGATGTTCATTCACAGTCTCTCCCTCCACTTCCACACTGTCTGGATTTTGCTGCCCACCTGAGTTCAGGAAGAGACTACATGCTCTTTACTTCTGATGAGAAAGCAGAGATGGTAAAGCAGGGCTTCTCAGGGCTGCAGCAGCACAAGCAACAACCAAACTGGCACCCATGGTGATGTTTCTGTCCAGACATGCAGACAGTTGTCAGGTTCCTCTTGTCACAGCTTGCTTGTCAGCCCGCTTGCACTGAGAGGCCYGGCTTCACTTCCTCCACTCTAACCACAGTGCCAAGGTTGCAACAGTGAATCTGTCTTAAAAGACCCCCAGTAGCAGTGAGGAATCTTGCCTCCCGCTCTCCCTACTAAAGGGTTTCTATCCCAGTCAACTAAGCACATCCCTGATGTGCTCTGACTCACTGAGTGCTGAGCAAGAACCCACCTATCGCCACAGCGCTGAGGTTAGAGGGCTCCTCTGGAGACTGCATAGTCCAAACCCTGCTCAGAGCAGGCTGCYCAGGACTGTGTCCAGTCAGGTTTTCATCATCTCCAAAGATGGAAACCATAACCTTTTGGGGAAACCGGATCAAGTGTTCAGCTACTCTCACAGTAAAAAAGTGTTTTYGTATATCTAGAGACAGAATTTTCCATATTTCAAGTTATGTCATTGCCTCCTGTCTCACCACTGTGAAAAAACAGCACTAAGCAGGTCTTACTGGCTGCCTTGCGGTGGGAGAAGAGGTCCATCCTTCAGAGGTACTGACCTCTCTTGGCCGTTTCCAGAGCTGGGACACCTCAGAAAGGTATTCAGCCAGGGACTTGCTACCTCCTTTCTATGCTGGGTGAATAAAGTAGAGATTTGCAATTACTTAAAATAAATAAATAAATAAATAAATAAATAAGAAGCAAAAATGCTCCTTTACCTAACAGCTCTGCCATCATGAAAAACCAGCTAGAGACTGTGAAGTATCATGTGGTATTGTCATGGAAACCACACAGGCATCTCAGGTAGAGAGATTCATTGTCTAAGTTTGGCAAGGTTGGGTAGAGAAACGTGGATTTTTTACCATCTGTCAGAAGGACCTGCTCTCAGTTTCTGCTATTCACTTTAGCACAAGCTGACCTGGGCTCTATAGGGAGCACAAGGATAATCCAGTCTCTCAGATTCTYCAGGGACACAGAGCAACCTGGAATAAAGAGTTCATGGTGTCAGGGGAAACCACCCCACTGAGGTGTCACTGACAGCCCAGCGACTGGGGGACTGCTATCAACCTGCACTAGAAATAACTGCAGTCCAAGGACATCAAGAAAAGACAAGACCAAGAGCATCTGGGGMAGGGATAAAAGATGACGATAAATAACCTGCACTAAAACACAGTGCAGGATTAGACTAGCAGGACATCTGAAGGGCAGCCCAGTCTGGGGAGAGTTTACAGGGCACAGGAGGAGGTAGGTCCATTGGTAGTAATTCAGGCAGAAGCACAAGGGCATATATAACAGACCTAGATTAATATGTGCAATCAGGTATCTGGGTCATGGTGAGGCCGCTAAAAGACAGGACTGAAGTGCTCTGTCAGAAAACATAGTAGGTGCAGAAAAACACCATCCAGCCCTGCATAAGGCTCTGGACAGCCCTATTTACTCCTCCTCCACAAGTCACCTACAAAGCACTGATGGGGAGGGACACCCAAAAGCATGAAGAGACACAGGAGCACTTACAGGGACACAAAGCCTTGCTTCCATTTTCTGTTGGGCAAAGTGCACRCCCTGAAGGATCTAGTTCTGTCATTCATCCCTCGTTCAGGGCATCATTGCTGGCTATGACTCCCATGAAAGTTGCAGTTCTATCACAAGATGTTYTCTTCTCCCTGAGACGTTTTTGTCCATGCATCGCAAACATGTGAAGGATCACAGGGGGCTCAGTAGACCAAGGCATGTGGTTTGGCTGCTGCACCCAAGCTCACATACAGCTCTCCCACAGCATCATAAAACACTATCTGACACAGAGCCAAGGTACTCATGACAGAGATGAAGGTTGGCTAAAGAGTCAGGGGATGGGGTGGTAGAAGCAAGGACTAAGCAGATCAGGCAGCACAAAGCACAAGCACAAGCAGGAGGATCTGGAGCAAAACTAGCCCTTCAGGGTACATGGGCACTCAAAAGCAAGAGATGCTCAGACACTGCCATGGCATCCCAGCTGCAAAGTCACCAAGCAACCTAACTYTTCTCCTCTGACTCATCCAGTCCCATGTCCCACAGCTCTGCAGATGCCAGGGCAGCACCTAGCTGCAGCCTTTTCCAGAGCTACCCACCAGTAYGCTTCACTCCTGCTGAACACCACTTATTGCTACCTCTGATCAACAACTCTTAGTCAAGAAGGGACCAAATGACACCCTACAGGGTAGCAATGTTTAACTGTACCAACTCACAGCATGTGACGTAGACCTTAACACCAAGGATTCTTTGTACCCTTGGTCTCCAAAATGGAAAGACCATTAATAGCCTCATCAGCACCCACCGTAAATTGTATCTGCAGTAGATGCTCCAGATTAGAGACTCCTGTTATGCAGCTGATCAAGCAAAAAGAAACCTCCAGAAATCATTTCCTGGGTTCAAAGAGAATCACCACATTTAGATATATGTGGAAAGAAACTACACCAGAAAACAACAACTTACACGAATTTTAATAACTCTAGTCTTCGCTCCACAATTCTTCTTGAGCAGCATCTTCTGAAAGAGAAGCAGAATCCAGGGATTAGTAGCAGTAGGGAACAGGAGAAGAGGAAGCTGTAAGGAGTCACTTTTCATCAATGTGTAAATAAACAATAATAAACAAGGATGGATGGTTAAGTGAGACATGAAAGACAGGACAATAAGAACTATCAAAGATGGCCATCAATCAGTCCACCTAATCCTAGATGCTGTAGTCCAGCTTTCAGTCTTTTGGAAACATGTTTTAATAAAGTACAGGCAATTACACAGAGAGGGTGATGGAACAACTGCCTAAAAGGAAGCTTCTTCTCAATTTCTGCCAATTAGCGGTTAGGCGCTGCCCTTCAGCAGGTGAATTTTTCTTCCTTTTATAAAGAAAAAAAAAAGGTCTAATTAATGTAAATGTGGATGTTCCCATCATTTAACATTTATTTTGATGTTTATTTAAATTACAAAACAAGGCAGAAAAAAAAAAAAACACCTGCCCACAGTCCTAAATGCCTCTGCTATATACTGTAACAGCTATTAAGGTTGCCCTAATGTATGAGCCATAGAGTTTAGCAAACAAGACATACTTAAAATATTTTTTCCTATGTAAGTACAGAAATATTCAGGTGAATTGCAGGTTTATCCCAGTTCTGAGACAGCATTTTGAAAGTTAGAAGTATTTTTTCCTTAAAAAAAAAAAAAGAAAAAAGATAGATAAGGCTTCAACAGAAAACAGGTTTTCCATAAAATGTACCTCAATTATTTTTTATCATAGTGAAAACTTGTGGTGGGAACATGTCAGAAAGAAACTTCTTCATCAGCTTTTGAAAGAAATAACAGATTTTCCTAACTCCTGACTGCTTTATATCCTTCACCACTGGAAAGCTATGTAAAGTGTGGGAAAACACTTTTCTTCCCTAATTTGTAACAAAACAATAGAGTCCCTTTTTTTTTTTTTTGAAATGAAATTCTTAAGACAGAAGACTGGAGGAAAAACATCCCACCATCCTACTAAAAAGGACGGTAAGCACTGAAGCCTTACTGCTTCATCACGCCCTTTTAGTTGTAGTCTTCCTCYTTTTTTTTTTYCCCAGTGGATAACAAAAGCAATGCATTGAAGGGAGCCTTGGAAACACAAAAATCTTTTATTAAAAAGAAAATCAAAACAAACAAACAAAGCACCAAAACTTTCACACACACAGAAAAA